AAGTGAAGCAAGATTTGTCTCAGGATCGGAAAAGAGAATCTCTGGTTAAATTGGGAAACTATGAACCATCTTGACTGCTGTGAACCACAATTAGGTAGACTGTATAATAAAGAGAAAACATTGACATTAGAGTTGAAGTATGTTCATTCATAAATGTAAGCAGACCTATGTGGAATGCATGCTAGTTTACTGAATACTACTACCAGAAAGCATTCTGCTGAAACTGGAGGTTCTACTTGGAGAAGGAAGGCCGCCTCCCGGAAAAGGGCAGCAGTGATTTTTAGCAGGAAATAATGTTGCATTGTATAACTGTGTTGACACTCTGTTAGCTATGCAGCTTGTGAAAGTGAAGAAAGATGTGGAAACGTATGTGACCTGTAATGCATTGAAGTAGTTGATGTTTGTTTTCAAATTTATTCTTTGGAGGGAGAGGTAAGGAGAAATGTTAAAATAGGCATCACTGTGTATTGTAAAAGATAAATAAGTGTTCAGGATGCCTGAAGAACTTTAGGATATCAGTTAGGGTAACTAAATGATAGTGTGCAGCCGCTTGGTCTGTATTGTGCACTGTAGTTGCATGGGTTAAGAGCGTGGATGCTGGTTGGTAAGAGCATTTTACTTGAAGAAAAAATAATTCGTTATTCCACTGTATTTTTACTTGTGTTAACTCTGGGCAATAAATTGAGGTAGCCATAGGAAATAGGTACTCAGGAGATAATTTTCCGTTATATTTAGAAGAGAAGTGTAACAGTGACCGAAGCTGCAGAATATCAGTTGCTTGTATCAAACTGTTCAAACTTGCTTTGAGCCACAAATCTGTTCTTGCTTGCCTGGAAATACTTGTTCTTACATGAGTTACTGTCATCCCCTGAGAACTTGGATCAGGAAGAGCTACCGTGACTGTCACACCCCAGTAGTGATTTGGAGCACAAGCGCTTGTTGAACATTTAGTGGTTGTGAAATGCGTTGCAATAGTAGTTACTGATTTTACTGCTATTATAACGACCATGGATTTCTTACTATGTCACCTGCCATTTTTGATGAACAGCTTTAGGTTTTGAGTATGAAGATTGATATTTTTTGTTTGTTGGTTTGTGTTGTTGCCTTTTACCATGAGAAGAATACGACATGGCAACAAGCCTGTTGATAGATTGCCAGCAGAGACTTATGTGCTGCTGTTCTTAGTAAACTTAATCCTTGGAATTCAATCTTCAGAGGTATACTTCCGCTGCTACAGCCGTTAATTTTCTATAACCACTTGACTGCTGTCCTATCCCTCGACTTGTATGTTTCAGATGCGAGAAACTGTGCTCTTTTTCTTGGGGGAGGAGGTGTTTAATACAGTAACTTTATCAGATTCTTCCTTAATAGTTTTCTTCGTAAATGAATTAAAAAAAAATATTCTTTCATACTTAGCATCACTGTCGAAGATGCGGAAAGTGCTTCTGTGACAAGTGCTGCAGTAAAAAAGTGCCTCTGCCTCGCATGTGCTTTGTGGACCCTGTGCGCCAGTGTGCTGAATGTGCCCTCATTTCTCAAAAAGAAACAGAGTTTTATGACAAACAGCTTAAAGTGCTCATGAATGGTAAGTACTGTATGTGTGTTTGTGTATATGTATATATATGTGTGTGTATGTATGTATATATGTTGGTTTGATTTTATGTTTGTTCAAATGCTATGTTAAATTTGATTTAAAACTAATTCTTCTTGTCAGACAAGCTATTAAGTTGCAGTTTTAAGATATCTGCTGTAAAGACTCTTCTATTGTCACGTTTCTTGTTTGAAGAAATAATTAACTTGTTTGAAGTTAATCATTCTGTTTTCTCAGCTTATTCGAAGAGAAGTCGTCTTCTTACAATGATATTGTTCACAAAGTGTGATGTAATCAAAGAAACTTTTAGTGCCTTGGAGAAGTGTGTGTGTATGTGTGTGCGCTTGCCATTTTTATTATACTAATGAATTTTTTTTAGCCATATTCCTGTTAAGTTGAATAAGAATGAAAAACACTTAGAAAACATAAAAATACTCTCTACTGCTAACAAGGTACTGTGCTTGCTTCAAGCCTCACTTGAGAGCTTTGACCTTGTCCATGGCCTAAGCCTGTGTGGGTAGCAGGTCGTCATGAATTGTCAGTTTTAAATAGCATTAAAACCACATGCGGTACACTACTTGGTGTTCCAATTAGATTAAGTAAAAAAACTAATGTTTATTAAACTGAAGGTCACATCCTGCTATTTGATTCTTCTCACGGATTTATTTGGAATACTGAAAAAATAGTTTCAGTAGTGCTACTATGTGTTACGGTGACAAAATAGGCTCTTTAATTGCCTATTTTTTACCATCTTCCAATTCATTCTCTTTTTTAAAGTTTCTGCTTATACATCATCTGCCTTTCCACAACGTGTAGGATAAATGTTCACGTTACATAGTAATTGTGGAAGGTCATGTGATTTAGAACATGGTAATTAAAGATGGCTTTTTACATTTGAGTGCTCTAAAAATGTCAGTCAGTTTAATGTTTCAATTAATCTGTTAATGATTTACCCAACTCAGTCTATTTGGTGCAGTAAATAAAAATGCTTAACAGTTTCGATATTTTAATGTTCCTTCCTAAACTCTGTGTTAGAATAATAATACATTTCTTTTTCCAGGTGCTACGTTCTTTGTAACTCTGGGAACATCAGATAAATCTGAGCTAATGGTATGTCGACTGTCTAACAATCAGAGGTGAGAAATCAATAGAAACTGTACGTGTAAACACAACTATGATTAATATTATCTAAGAACCCAAACCAGAAAAAAAAAATAAGACTAACTTGCTGTGAGAATCCTGGAGAGAATATTCTGTAATGATAGCTATAATTTTATTGGGCTAAGTTTGAATTTACAGTGTAGGTCAGTGGCCCTCACAAGAGGTGTGAACTCTCATTGCTTTATATTGTGAAGACCGTTTCCAGAAGCAACAAGGGGCAGAAATGCCAGAACGCCTTGGAACAGTGGAACTGCGCGCTTCTTAAGTCATCTCAGTGCTGTTGGAATACAGTCTTTTTGCCGACTAATAGGAAGATCGTAGGAAGGATAGCTGGGAAAATACCTGTAACCCCTCGAAAAACCTTGTTTCAGAATGCTGACTCCAACACTGAGCATATTGTTTAACGTTACTGACAAAGCATTGCTTAGGGCATCCCTAGAACTCGGTTGGCTAAAATAGCTCAAACTCCGCGTTCTCTTCTTCCTTCCGAACTTTGGAAGGCTGTTTTTAATGTCTGTTTGAAAGGGTCTCCTGGCAAACGAATCTATAGGGTTTTGTTTCTTTTTGTTTGTGTTTGTGGAGTTTTAAGTGAAGCACTTCAGTGAAAAAGACTTCCTGCTTGATTTCTTCTCCCCACCCCAAAGAACATACAGAAAACTAGTCACTGAGAGATTCTGTTTGAAATGCAGTGAACTCTGAGATATGGTTATTCTGTTTTATGTAATTCAGACTTGATGTTGTAGATGGGAAATACTAAAATGTGTGTTTTCTTTTTTTGTGGAGATACCTGGTTTTGGATGGAGACAGCCACTATGAAATTGAAATTGTACAGATTTCAACTGTTCAGATACTTACGGAGGGCTTTACTCCTGGAGGTAAATCTTTCATCGAATAAACATTTATTATTAAGAAAAATATGCAAAGTTACAATTTTTGTTCTAATAGACAGTGCGTTTCTAAGTTATTGACAACTCATGTTCCACTGTCGTGCTTAAAACTGTTCTCAGAATAGAATGTAGTGCTTGGAAGCCTGTCCATGTGGCTAGTGGGATTTCAGGGAAGATCTAAAAATTCAGAGATTGCTTCTGAGCTCTGATATGTGGGAACTTCTCAATAGGCTTAGATAAAGCTGGTCACCACCTGTTCTGACCGTTTCTCTTGGCTGGATATAAATGTTTATTGATTCAAAAGCTCATAGCAGAACTGTTAGTCTTTAGCTTCCATTTCAGAATCCAACTGGGATTTACCTTCTGTTGGTACAAACAACTGTGAAGAGAGTAAGAGTTAACCTGTTTAAAAAAAATTAAAACTAGACTCTCTTAATTTCATTCAAAATGAAGGGATGGCCAAATGAAACTGGTAACATCTGAACTGGAGGGCAGCTACTTACTGCTTCATCTACTATTCTGTAGTATTTCAGGAAGTGTGATTGATGAGTATGATTTCACTGATATGAGAGCAAACAAGGACAGGAGTTCTCATAATTGTTCTTTAGTAACAACTCTGTCACTGCTGTTTTTTTTTTTTTAATTGAATAGTTCATTTGTGCAGTATTCATAAGTGCAACATGTTAATTTTAATGAACTGTCTTTAGTATTCTAATCAACCAGATGTGTTGCTGAATTAATGATCCTATAATTCCTTGTTCATTACTCTTCTGACTGCTTTATCTTTTGCCTGCCTGCCTTTCTTCTTGATGGTAGAAAAAGATATTCACACTTATACCAGCCTTCTGGAGAGCCAGCATATTACTGAAGGTATCAGCAGTATCGTTTGTGAGCATGACTTGCCCAAGCATGCTATCACAACCCCTTTCCTGTTCTCTCCTCTGCAGTGCTGTTTTGTTTGCTTGATCTTCTATTGATGTTCGACTTAGGAAAAATTTCTTCAAATGTTAGATGTATAACTTGCACAACTCTCGCCTCATACTTTTTCTTCCCATCTTTCTTATTAAATAAACTGACAATGAATGTTTTATAACTTATCGGAGAAGAACTAAAATGTTCCAGACCTCCTTTAAACCTGATATGCTATCATCCCTGCTAGGAGAAAGGAGAGAGAGACAAAACAGTATTTTTGATGGTATATGGTATTACACATCACCTCCTTCCACAGAGCTGTCCCTAATTTTGTATACCAGAAATAAATAATAAAATAAGTCTTTACTTCCTGTGTACTGTCCAGTAATGCTTTGGACTGAATAAATAAATGTCTTACAAAGATTTTTCTCCATAGTTTACCACAGGATTGCTTCAAACAATAGAAAATATGGGTACAGTTTCTAAATAAGTGGAGAGTATGATATGGTAAAATTTGAGTACAGATTAGAAATTCTGTTTTAAACTGTTAATTAATAGGCTTTCTTTTTACGTTTCTTTAAAATAAACATACCCTCTTGTTGCACAAGACATTTTCTACCTGAATCAGTAAATGTTCTGGAACGCCAGGTACGTGCAGTGTATGCGTAAAGGCATCAATACGCTATCCTAAACCAAACTTCTGTTTCACTTCTGTATTTTTGCTTTGGTTCATCTTGAAATGTGTATGCAATTAGATTAGAAAAGATGCAACCGCTGTTCGCAAATAACACTGTTAGAGGAATGACTTTTGTAATGGATTCCCCTTGTGAAGTAAATGATGATGTTGGCCTTGCAGGAGATACCTGCTGGGGAAGCTTCTTTCCCAACCTCTCCTAGATTTGGATGGACTTCTCACAGTCCTGCCAGACTTCTTATCAAGCAAGGAGCCCTCTTTGATATCAGTCGAATTGGACACTAGCAGTTCAGTTTGCAAACTGTAGGCTACAATATGAAACTATAGTGTCTACTTAAGAGAAAACAGATGGCAATATTAAAATACAAGGGTTTTCTCAGTGTGTGTAACTAGTGGCGTTGCTTGTGATGACTTGTACAAGTTCTGCCTCAGTGATTGCCAGATAGAATTAACAATATTGAGCCTGCATGTTCTGTTTCCTGGCATTAACACTCTTTGTCACTGCCTCCTCTGATGCTGCAGTTCTGGGTTTACCGAGGTATGTTGGAGCCCTGTGGTCTTGGGACACAGTGAGAGAAGTGCTAGTGCTTTGAACTAAGTGATAGGACAGTTTCTTCAAACATGCTTATTGGTTTGTAGAATGTTACTTAGTTGGTAAAATATGTTGCTGGTTCAGGACTCGATCTCTTTTTCCAGGAGGTAATACTCGTGCCATAGGTATGATTCTGCAGTATAAGGTACCAGGATCAGAAGAGCTTACACAGATGAAATTTACGGCTAGCGAAGACTTCAACTGTAACAAGAAGCTGTCAGCAACCTGGCTGGCAGCTATGCATAAGGTAAGCTGGGCAGGGGGGGAGGGTGTGGGCAGGGAAGAGCATTAAAAAAACATTGCCTGAAATTAATCCTTTTCTGAAATCTAGGGCAGGGGGAAAGTTTTGGCAGAAAAGAGGAGAAAAGGCTTGTTTTCCCCCAGCTACTTATTTGCCACAGCATCATCTACATCAGAGGAAAGGGCTTTGGTATAAATGAAGAAAACCTGCTTGTTCTGGTTCCAGAGAGGAGACTGTCTGTACATAGGGTACTCGGTAGCAGTAGATAGAGTATGTAGCCTTTGGAGTCCTTTTCTAAAGGACTCTTCTAAGGACTTCTTATTGCTTAAGAAGACAGAAGCTATGGATGCTTGTTATGGACGTGACTTTAGCCTCGTGCTTAGATAGCTGAAGAAGATATACCACAAAGCATTTATCAAGATCTTATCTATGTCATTAGGTGATAAGAAAGTAGGAATTCAACTTTCCAGTTTCTTAGGTCTCTGTTACTCATTGAATAATGTGCACAACAGCATATTCTCTGGAACTACAATCAGATAATTGTATTTACTAGTTTATTGAAGGCTCAGAGAAATTGTTCAGTTTTAAAACAGGAACAGACAGACGTGTAGGCAGGACTGTGGAGGACTGAGTCCCCTCTGTTGCTGTTAGGTACTCTATTGTAACTGCATGATGAAACTGAAGTTTTGTATTTCACAATTCAAAGTTACGGGAGACGAAAAAAATGGTTCGTAACTTTATCTGACAATTAGAATCGTAACTGATAAGCTGTCTGCACTTGTTTGGCTCTGTTTGCTCCTTTCACACCATTGTTCTTAGGCTCCCCAACCACCCCGAACCCCACCGTTTAACTTCTATATTCAGCAAAATGCGCTCAAACTTTGTATTGCCACATGAATGTAGTTTAGCTCTTCCTGTTCTAATTATCTTTCACAAGCAATGCAGCTCTTAAATATTGCTCTTACTGTGTTTCTATTGATAAACTTAAACCTCTAATTTGTCTCCTTTGATATGAGCTTAGCTCATTTTTTTTGAGTAACTAACTGCTGAGTACACAAGATCTTCAAAGGCCCTAGTTAACTGCATACTCTTATTTCTCAAATATGGGGCTTGCATTTTCCGTTATCCTGCTCAGTGAGGTGACTTTTATTGCAATGTTTTTGTGATGGTGCTTTCAAGTTAATAAGGTCACCCCAGAACTGATAGAGATCTTGATATGAAAGCATTCAAGCTAGAGTTCCTAAGATCGAGGAATAAATTTGCAGACTTGCACAGCAGTACATGACAATGCAGCTAAAACTTCCTCTGGCTTTTGTTTTGTGTTTGACCTATGAGGAGGATTTCTTAACCAATTCCTGTTTTAAGGAATGTCTGAGAATAATGTAAAGACTTTAAGATGGAGTATATTAAATGGGAATTCAAAAAAAACCTGTTTCTACCTAAAGCTTTATCTTCTTTCCGAGGCTTTGTGAGCAGGTATTTTCCAGCTGCTGACAGTCCTGTGCTCAAGCATTCTGTGCAGACAGACTTGAATGGATTAGATCAACTTGGAGGAAGGCCACCATTTAAGATTGACAGTGACAGTTCTTCTGTAGCATATGGTTCCACTGCTAATGTACCACCCTAGTATGTCCGAATGCTTATAGAGCTCATATCCAGAACCTTAAAAGAAATAAATCTCATAAGCTTTTCAGGGTGTTGTAATGTAGTAATGCAAGTTGAAAGACTTCTTTGAAGGAAAAAAATAGATGGAAGTTAGGTAAGTTGCAGAAGTAGAACCAATGATTAAGTATGTATGTGGACTGTATGGATGAAGATTAGTATTGAAACGTTAGGTTTAAAGCAAGTAAAAGCTATGTGTCCACCTGGGAGCGTCACTGTCTCACTGAATGTGCGAGTCTCACTGAATGTGCGAGTTGCATGCCAGCTCTTGGCCTTTCCTTTCAGTAAGTGTTGCATGAATGACCTATTTAAAGGACTTGTTGACCTGTTGCTAGAGTAGGCACGTTATGCCTGTCATAGGATGCTGGTTAATACTATAGTTTGAGAGATGATTGGAACACCTCACCAAAACTTTGCAAGGTGGAGGGCAGAAGGGGTAGGAGGAATACCAAACAGAATAATACATTATTTTCTATACGTGCTTAATCGGATCACTGAAATCTCAGAAATATTGGTTTTAACTTTTTCCAAGACAGCTTTGATCAAAAATGCCCATTTCTGACCCAGAGGAAACAAATGCAAGTTATTTAAAACCTCCTTCAGTGACCTCAGGTTCTACACGTGAACACCTCTCAATAGCCTCAAAAATTACTTTTGCCTATTTGAATGCTGCTAGCTGTCTTAAGCTAATGAAAATAACATAGGAAGAACTTAAAGCTTTTTGGGTTTAAAGAATTTTGCGGGGGGGATGGATAGAGGGAGATAAGTGGCTGAAAATGAAATTTCAGTTAAGACAATCCCATTTTGTTTTTATATTAGGCAACAAAACTTCTTTATGAGTCCCGGGACCAGTAAGAACAGCAAATTGTTGGCAAATTGAAGGAAGGCACCAACCTCTAAGGACCTGCCTCTCATTTTTGCTATTTTGACAGCTGGTAACACTTGCTATTCTTGACCCCTTCTCATTCCAATGCGGTTCATTATGTAAGAACTGGCAAATGCAATGTGAGTATTTTTTTGAACCATGAGTATTCACTATAGTGTGCAATATGTATACAATTAATGCTTTAAACAGCCTCACCTTTTAAGATTTTGTATATTTTGTTAAACCTTTATCAGCGCTAAATATGAAAATGACCTGCACTACAGCTAATGTACAGCACAACTTTTATAGTAACAATTATGTATACTGTTTGCCACAAGAAGCAAACAAAGGTTTATGTCTCTTCTGCAGAGAATAGCTTTTGGGTATAGATCTCAGGTTTTCTCCTTTATCCAAATGTTTAAAATCAATGTACAATAAAATCTGCCTTAGCTATGATTTTATAGAAATTACTTCTTGGTTTTTCTAAACATATTTAACCAAATACCACAAAAATCAGACTTTCATAAACATGACCTTAAATTCCCTTCTGTAATAAGTAAGCTTCTGGAATAATGTTTAGTTTTGTATTTTCTTTTTGGTAACTAGCTTTTGTTAATCTAACTGTAATGTATCTGGAATTGTATACGTTTTAATGTACAAACATGGAATAAATTAATTCACTTATTTAAAAAGGTGATATTTATTTTCATAATATATAACCTCTCTAATGAGAGGTACTCTGTTTGCCATTACCTAAACTCTGAAACCTTTGACTTCCTTTACAAACAACACCCTAAGTTTAGTTTTAAGCTTGGATAACTTGCTCAACTATTAGGATGAATCCTCTGGCTACGCAAGCTGTAGCAAGTGTCTTCCTGCCCTCCAGTTTCCTGTAGCAGTAAAAAATTGAGTAAACAGCTACACAAGGCTCAGTTGTCAGATTGCATGTAAAGCACCCTTGAGAGCTTTCCTAGGCACACATTAATTTGTCACAGCTGGAACACTGGAGTTTATAGTGTAAGGAGGTCCAAAAATGGTTTTGTAAACCAGTGAAGAAACAAATTAACAAGTAGGGTTTAGCAAGCTGGAGTTCAAGTCTTCTCATGTAGACAGTGACAAACTGTATGGCTACTGTTGCTACTTACATAAAAATACTAGAGAATACAGCCATGCCTTAGCAATACTTTATTGTGCACATTTACATGTTCTCTGAATTAGTGTTTCATAGGCTCTTGAAAGCATCACATTCATGTAGCAAAGTCTTCAACAATAATACCCTTTCACTTTTCACCACAATATATACAGTTAATGCTAAACCTGTGGTAAAAGCAAGTTACAGCACTGCAGAAATGGATATATAAATAATACACAAAACTTGTACATGAAGAATTAAATTGCATACTGTTTAACGGGAGAAAAATTACAAGAAATATGGCTACAACTTATAATGGGAAAGTCAAAATATACTTTTGGTATATAAAATCATGTACAATTAAAATTCCAGTGAAGTGCTTTTTTTTTTTTTTTTTGCTTGAAACTACTATGTAGTGGAATAGTTTATTGCATAACTTGCCTTGGCAACAGATGTAGGCTGCCAAGAACCACAGAAACTGTCCTCAAATAAGCTACTGCCTTTCTTAAATACATCTCTGAACCTTTTTTTCTTTCTTCTCCTTGACTTACTTAGCATCTACACAGCCCTCTTCTACTTCTATTCAGTCCTTCATATTTTCTTCTAGACTGACTCAGGCAGACTTCAAATTACATAGTGTAACTCTAACCAGACTCTTACCCCTTCTCAACTATTGCACTTTCATCCATGCAGACATACAAATCCCTTAAGCTGCTGCAAGTTTAATATTAACTGTTTTGTCCAGAACAAACAAACTCAGGTGGTTAGTAGGGCAACCTTCACAGGAGTAGAGGTAACACTGGTGCTGTAAGTTGGATAACAAGGAAAATAAAACACCAAGTGAACTACTGTGTAGGGGTTTTGAGAAGTGTACAAATACTGTTGTTTTGTTAGTGCTCTAGCTTGTTTCTAAATGCAAATAATAATACTAGCGGCTAGACTATGTAAAGCTTTTATTGGGGTTGTCTAGACTAGGATTTAAGTGTGTAGTATGTTAACACAAAATCCTAGCCCTTGTAAAGCTTTGGTGACTACATATGCACTTAGCAGGTGAAAATCTTGTGTCCTAGAACCCAAAGAGTTAATCGGTAAGGAGAGAACTCAACATTCACTGGTATGAAACAAAATAGCCAAGATTCTGACATGGGACAGTTACTGTGGGAGTGGAGCAGACTGGACAGCATGTCTGCACTTTGCAAATGACACCTCTGAACATTTAACACAAGAAAGCTCCTACCATGGAACTTTAACTTAATAGGCTGCTTTAGACTATAGCTGAAGGAACATTGTAGGTATTGGAGGTATCACTCTCCTCATCAGTGGTGGGTCACATAAAACAATCCTCACTTACAAACTGCAGATCCTGAAAATCTTGAATGCTGTCCATTTAACAAGAGAAAGCACCATTAAAACTAAATACCAGAGTTTTATTTTTCCATGTGAAATGATTGAAAATGATGGCTCCAGTGTATGTTTTAAATTTCCAGTTACCAGCAAGGTATTGCACTCTTGTACAACAGATTTCAAGCAAGGGTTCGCTGTCTAGGTTTTATTCGTGGATATAACTGTAAAAACAGAATAAAAATAATAAGTAAGTAAGTTTTGCATGTCTGCTACCAGGTTAAATATAAATAAATTTAATTATAACCAAAGGGTACATACGTACAAGATCTGGCTCATACAGGGTGTTTTGGGTTATAGCTTGTTTGTTTTTTTTCATAAGCTACAGTGTGTTCCTAGGTACCCTCTGAAAAATTCAACCAGAAACAGCAGGAGGCCAGGGCTGACTTATTCCTGCCAGCAGCAGCAAGATTGCCCCTCTAAAAATTACTTAGTCTGCTTGCTGAAGACCCAGAGAAGACCAAACGTGCTTTTAAGTAAAAGAATTCTCCTTATTAGAAAAATCTAGCCTTTGAGAGAGCTTATTTATTTCCTGCGCTGTAAGTTTTTCTTTCACATATTTTATCTTCTCTCTCTTCTTAGCAGCCTGAAGTTCCTTGTGATAGCAGTGTTCCATAAGTTGACAACCCCATGCAAGTTGCTCAAAAGCAGCTCTCAGTCATCTTCAGGGCTTTTTCCTGTTTTTAAGTTGTATATATATACACGTATTGCCTATCTTGTGCCAAGTATTAAAAAAAACTTCCTAAAGAACTTTGAGGGAGACAGAAAAGGGATACGGGGGGGGGGGGGGGTTGTTAACTCTATTAATTCTCAGAAAAACTCAGACTCCCCCTTCATGGGAGCAATGTTGAGAAGGGAGTGGAAAAAGGGGAAATCAAGTACACAGGCTAATCTGTTCCCTTGGCATCAAGCACCTGGCAAGAGCTGCAAAGCAGCAGCGGCAGGTCCAGAGCTTTGCTCATCTTTAGTGTGTGGCCTAAAACGTAGAGCTATGCAAAGTTACCCCCTTCCCCATTTGCTTTTGCCAGCCTCTCTTCAGTCCCTGGCCAGTGTTAATGTCCCCCTTGCAAGAAGCTCTCACTGTCAGTTGCAAGCTGCACATAGCTGCACAAGGATGGAAACCCGTGTGGCAGTAGGTTGCACGGTTATCTCTGAATACAGCATACTAGTTGGAGAATTCTACCCTATACCATTGATTAGCTAGCATCATATCTTTTATTATTTAAATAAAGTTTTTGGTTTTGTTTTTTAAGAAATAATTTGATCAAGTAAGAGTTAAGGAATAGAAGTAGCTTCTTACCATTCAACATAGAAACTTCCCTGTTCTATAGGATTCTGAGTGCTTTTGGCAACATCTGCCTTCTGGACAGATCTCCGGATTTTTGGAGCTCACTAATGATCTAAAGCCTAAAAATGGGTACCTTCTTAATATAAGTATCTTTTCCGGGCCAAACCTTAGGGCTGCTTAATAGAGCCACCACGCTTCATATAGGGACCCTATTTTTTTAAACAAAGGAAAACTCTTACTAAAGATTAAAGCTGAAAATATATTAAGTACACTAAAGTTACTGAATTAAAAGGTGGGCTAATCACAGCCTCTCCTTTCTGTTTACAATAACACCACAGAGGCCTGAAAGAATAAGGACAACCTGCTGTGCACCACTTCATAGTAGTGTATCAAGATGATGCACCGATGGGTTCTGGCCAACGGTCCGTCTGTGTTCCTACTTCAGGAGGAAGTAAAAAGTAGAAGGGAGAAGGTAACCTAAAAAGAACTTACCCCAAGCAGATTTTTAGGCACATAGCCTTCTTTATCATTGAGGCGGGCCCACCACCACTCTGTTTCGTTGTCATCCTTGCGTCGTAGAATAGTAATGGCATCACCCTCGTGGAACGACAACTCATCATTATTCTGGGCTTCATAGTCCCACAGAGCATACACTACTCCTTTATTCATAACTCCCAACTTCTCCTGCACTCCTGTTAACAGAAAATTAGAGGGCGTAGTAAATGGTAAATATCCTGTTTTTCCCTCTGGGATTTTTAGTGTGGATGCTGTGACCTGAATATATTAGTCTCGTATTAATAAGATTCCACAAACAATTTCAGCACTTCTACAATGAAACACTCTCAGAAATTGAACTGCATGATAAAACCACATCTTGCAGAATATTTGATCTACAGCATGAGATTTTTCCTTTTATTGTATATGCAATATAAACTTAGTGATCTTACTCAAATAAGGACAAAATAGTTTTACATATGTTTCAGCAAAGCAGCTTTATAGAGCTGTTCTGGTGTTCCTCATAGGCCTACTTTCTGCAGAACACTTTACATAGTAACACTTGAAGCTTCTGAAAACGTGCACAATGTCATGTTCGTAAAGTCTTAACAAAGCTTACATCCTTCTCTGATGCAAAGTGAAAAATCTGTCGGCTGCATCAAAGGTTTTTTTTTTTGTTTTGGTAAAATATATCTTGGTAACTTGGAGACTTATACATTCTGCAAGTTAATTATTCGTAAAGTATACATGTTTCTTCATGTGATCTGCTAGAAATGTGTGCATCTGGAAGTTGCAGTATCTGTATCAAGATACTTGACAACTCACTGTCTAAACCTCTCAATGGGAGCATTCATTGACATTAAGCCAAATTCATCTTAAAAAAATTTAACATTAGAAAGAGCCTGTGAAATAACTCAAAGAAAGGAAGCAATATAAGCTATGTAATAACCAAAAGGCTATTTTGTTATTAGCATTTTGAAAGTACAGGTAAAGGGCAATATCTTCAAGTCAAGGGCCTAAGTAGAAGATAATAAAATATTTCATACAGAACAGAAGTATAGCATACTGTGGGATAGAAAAGGGCTGAATTTTAGAAAAGCTAAAAAGGTTTGTGACATGCATCACAACTTACCATACAAGAACTGGGAACACTGAATGTAACCTTCTTCCATCTCTTCACACTTGTCTGCAGCAGTTTCTATATCACTTATAGTTGAAGCAAAAATTGCTGCCCCAGATTCAACAAGTAGCTTACAGAGATGAACACTATTGCAAGAAGCAGCACAATGCAAAGGTGTCCTGAAGTAAAGCAGAAATGAAGACATCAGAAAAAATGTTCCAGGAATCCCAACTATTTTGTCTTGCGATATGAAGTTTAGTCTGTCTATATTAATATTTAATACATTTTTTAAAGGAAATTGTCTTCTTATCGATTATAGTTTATGCATTGTGCAAAACCTGTCAAGACAGCCTGGAGTGGATTCCTGACTCCACTAAAGCCAAGCACTGATGTTTTCAAAAGTGTAAAGTTTTATATCTTGCAAGGCTGCTGGATATAAAAGGCCATTCCCTAATATGAGGAAATTTGAAAGGTAAAACAAGATGAGGGAGGAACTGATCAGCATGGTAAGCTTTCAGATGCCCTCCAAAATCCGCGGATGGATTATATGAAGATGAAGCTTCTTAAACAAATGAATTTTGGTCACTTGATATTTACAGTTTAATTATTTTGGCATGTGGACAAGAAATTCAACTATACTATTAAGTAAAAGCAAAATATAGTATAATTTATGGCTTAAACGTGCTTTCACATGAGTTCAACACAACGTAACCTTGCATTTGAGTTTGTCACCATCCAGAGATTAGAAAGTGCTCATTTGCTGTGGGTAAAAGGGAAGGAAACTGTTCCCAAAACAGGTCTCCACTGAATTTTGTTTTTGAATTTGCATCAAAATGGTCTTTTTTCAGATGCTAGGTTAAAAATCTTGACACTTACCACCCATCACTATCTGCTGCGTTTACATTTACACCAAAATCAAGCAGGAACTTCACAATGTGGTGATGACCAGCACACACTGCATTATGCAAAGGTGTAATTCCTTCATCATTGGGTTTACTGGGATCATCAACCTATTGAAAATATGAAATAGTTCATTAGCCTTTTTTTTTTTTTTTTAAAGTATTGAAAGAATTTGCCTTTGTTTAGAAGCTCACCTCGTATATGATTCTTTGCACAAGATCAAATTCTCCCT